CTCTTTGCCAACATTAGACTATACTGAAGTCTACATGTCCCTAATATGGCAGTGGGGGAAGAAAACCCACGTGATTGAAATTATACAACTTCTAGAAGTAGAAAAAAATAGCAACGTAAAAAACCCCAAAACTTTAGAAACAGATGCAGCAATACACTTTGGGAACAGCAGATTATGCCCTCATTCTTTACCTTACTCCTGGTTTACCCTACATACAATTCCAGGACGCACCTGCACGTGGCTAGCTCCAGCTCTTGTGACACAGATAACAGAACCCTCTGCCTGTTTGCTGTGGCTGCTATTACAAGATTATGTAGCAAAACAAGAATATCCAGTTGTTGGTCATTGATTTATCTGTAAAACAGTAACTGTAAAAATGATAGAAGAGGTTCTGTACTAGACAGTCTTGTGAAACAGTTTATTACTTAAGTATTAATGACCCGTTTAGAGGTCTTTACTGGTCAGGTAATGACCAGCTAAAGGAGTTAAGGGCCCGAGGCAAAGCACTCTAATAAAACCCTGCATATAGCATGTGTTTGGTTCCTCCAAATTCTATTAGGAAAGAGAAGCATAAAGGGTAATGAAAGACATGTCCAAGAGGCACTTGTATCAGCCCTCTCATTTTATATTTGGCATAACACACATGGCCTTATTCCAGCAGCACAAATCATTCCTTGTTTATACTACCACCTATCATGGAGAAGAGCAGTAACTACAGCTGAAAATGGCCAGCCAGGATGTTAAAGACCCTGTTGCTTTGGGCATATAAACCTTCCTCCAACTGAGAACCCATCCTGCTATTGGAACACCCACTGTCCTTTGCATCTACAGAGAACATGTGCTCCAAAGGAGAAGGGAGCCTATATATGCAGCCAGGCATCTCAGCCACCCCTGCCAGTCCTAAATCCTACTCTAGTAGTATTAAGAGTAGAGGGATTAAGTGCTTTGTGTGTTCCTGTGCAACTCTACTTGAATATGAATGTCCACTTGCTTTTTATTCTTTGCATTATGAGAAAAGGCATATTAAAACAGGAGTTTAATATTGATATCTCCAATCTAAGACTGATATAGAGCAGCTGTATATACATATATATATATATATATATATATATATAAAAATATACACACTTGCCAGTAAATTAGAAGTCAAGGATTTGAACACTACCCAGGGTCTTACTCTTGGCTTCAGAGGCAGGTAAAACACTCAGGCCCACACAACCACATCTTGCTATTACAACCCCACAGCAGCATTGATTTTGGTCCTGATTTACAGCATCATTTGTTCTTGATAAGAGCCACCTGCCAGCACTACTCAGAAAAAAGTAAAATACAATCTAGGAGTGGAAATTAGAAGCAAGAGTGGATAACAGGCTATGAGCTGCAAAAAAAAATCAGTCAAGATTCCTGTATTTGCAGGACAACATGCTTCTCAACAGCAAATGAGGATAAAGAGCATTCTGATGACTTAGTCCAAAAGTTACTTAATTTCAGTGTTTCTTCTTTGCCTATAGTATAGTTCAGTGTTTACTTTAAAAACCACTCTGCAGTGTTTACATAACTAATTGTAATGACTTCTGCAGATTATTTCTTATTTCTTTGTGTGCAAACAGCCTTTTAAGCCATGCTCAAGGCTTATTTCAGACTTTAACAATCCTTCAGAGCTATTGCAGCTAATCATATAAACATACACTAAGCCAAATTTAACTCATCTACTGAGTAGTAAAATGGTGGCTTAACATTTGCACCTTCCACCTCTCAAGGTTAAACATCTCAGTGTTTTATTTTAGACCATCTGAAGTGATCAAACCAGTCTAGGCATTTACTAAAATTATGTTCTCCATCAGAACTGGGCAAAGCAGAAAACATATGCAATGTTTAACAGAAATGGTTATTTCTACAGCTACATATTTTGGAGAGCTAAGGATACAAAAATAAAATTCAGGCCCTAACTAGAAGTTGATTCAGTGCATACAACACAAAGCCTGTATTCAAACCAGAGGACTTCTACATTTTTTAGAGCCAAATTACAATTTTTTGCAACACAGGGTTAACGGCAAAAGTGCTGACACAACACTAAGTGTATAGTGGCGCCTGCAAGCAGTGCTATAATTAATCTAAGTGTACTGTCATTACACTAAACACTGCTTCTGGAGTATCATTCCAAGTCATGAGGCTCTTTCTCTGTTTCTCAGATAACATGCAGTTTATTTCCAATCATGTACATTTCCAGTTGTGGCATGATTTGCTAAAGTAACATTAGGTCTTGAAGCAATATCTTAATCAAATCAGAATCTTCTGTAAAACAAATCTTTGGCTCTCGGAGAATTAGTAACATCTAATGCCTTAGGATAGCAATGTGAAACTGTGAGCTGAAAAATGCACTGCTGGAGACCATACTCAGCCTCCTTGCTTCTAGCCATTTACAAGTACATCTATCTAGCCTCCTACCTACACATCTCCACTTTATATGGTCATAAACCACCAATGCAATATCTAAATTATACCCTGAAAACTCCAGGTTTGAAATGGGTTGTATGAAAATTCACTTCATGTGGTTTATTCATGTCTGCAAGAATACAAGGCTCTGATTCCTTTTGGATGGAACTCATTTAAACAAAGCCGAACAGCAAACACCCATAAATTAAAGCATTATTGGTATTTATGAAGAGACACATGTAAACTGAGTGAATTTTGTGTAAAAGGCCTTAAAAAAGGAAATAAGTGGAATCTTGCATATAAAACACTGATTGCATTCACAAAGTTATTAAGTACTTTGTGAATTAATACTTTGAATTATGTGTTATGGGGAAAGAAATAAAAATACATGCATGTCTGGAGATGTGTTTATTCACATGCATTTCAGATTTCTCTCCTCCCATATCCACTGAAGGTATAATGTCTTAATAAACTAAGAAAATTTGGGAACAAAGGAAATTTAAGTATTTCACAATATATGTCTGAAGCTAGTAATTTATAACGGATATAAATTTATCTTCAACTTTACTTCAACAAAAGCTGTAGTTGAAGCAATTGTCTGCTTCAGTGAGCAAGCTACTATGCTTATGTTTCCCAAATTAAAATAGATATATACCAGAATTATTTATTCTCTGCTTTTTATACGCAGGTCACTGATAAAAGACCAAGCAGAATTCTATAGCAGGATTTCTATATCTGTGACCTTAGCATGGAATTGGTATGATAAATTCATGTCGATCACTTTGGAGAACTCTTAGACTCTTCAGAGCTGGGAAAATTTATTTATATATATAAAATATATATACAAAGACATGACAAGCCATGGCCACTGGGCCAGCACTGGCTACTGAGGTGTTCTGCACCTTCACCCTTTGCAGAGTTGCAACAGTGAGAATTAGATAAAACATCTCCAGAAGCACCTGTGTTTAAAATATGCAAACAATCACTTATGCTAAAGGCTGATGTGTTGCAAAGTCAAGTCATATTTACACCATATACATCAAGTCATATATACACCAATAAATGTATTTCATCCAGTAAACAGAGGACTGCACACATACATATACATACATACCCAGAGATGCCACAAAAAATGCCTGATAACTATTCTACATTTCAAGAATGAATAATGATTACAGACATATGGTCTTAGATCAAAAAAGAGCCAATAGACCAAAACCTAGAGCAAAGTAATATTAACAAAATAATCATACTTATTCTTTTATATCTAAAGATGGCAGTCCAGAAACATTTTAATTTAGCGGCAATTTTTCTCCCCTCCTTGTGCTGGCAGCGGCATTCATGCAACTGCACAGGCAGATAGACCAGGAAATTAATCTGGCTGCAAAGCAATTTCCCTCCCTCCCATTCCCACCCCCACAAAAGAGAATGAGCAGGACTGTTCAGCTGATCTGATTCACAACATGACATCCTAAAGCCAGTAGCAGCACAAGGCAGATAGAACAAATACATGGCTGGGGTAACACTGGAAGGCAGGACAGCATTTGTCATCTATATGAGAGATATAAAGTCAATGAACAAATACACCTACAATTGACAGTGTCCAGGCTGTGATATTTTAAAGACGCTTACATGAATACCCAAGGTTCATTATTCCCTTTGTCTTTTCAAGCTTTCCAACTCTCACCTTTGGAAATCCAAACTACCTCTGGCTCAGACAACCACATATGAAACATATCACTGTAACAGCTACCAACATGACCATGTCCTCTGTGCCAGGCAACAGCAGCACATCAGGCTATTGCTATTGAACTGGAATGGCCAAATACTGCCAGTGCTGTTACAGCCTGTGGACACACCTGGAGTTAGGGAAAATTACATTTAACATCCAGAACACAGTCTACCAATTTGCTTGGCAGGGTGATTCTCTGAAGTACAGACCACCAGAAAACTGATGAGAAAGAACATCCTAGGCCAATATCCTAAAACATTCAGAAAGAAGAGACCAAGGGTGTATTGTCCCCCACTGACTGAAGAAAGACATCAGCAGCAAGAGACAAGGTGGTTAAATTGTGCGCCAGGTGATATTCCATCACTAGCCACACCTGGTTAACCCTCCACATCACCAAGTCACAAGTGTGCCTGAGAGGACAGGTGAGCATAGCAGGTTTTGAGAGCAAGAGACAAGTCCTCAGCTAATGCCTCCACCTCTATTTAATCCGCTTCACATTTTTAACATTCTCTCCTCAGCAGCATGAAAGATATGCTAAAACCAAAAGCAACCAGTGACAATGGGTTGTCCCCAAGCAAGGAGTACTTGGGATGCAAAGTACCCCACCACAGTGTGGAAGCCACGGTCACTCACATCCTGCTGCCCCACAAAGGCAATGTGCTCACTCCCATGGCACAACAGCAGCTCACATCTGTCAACCAAGACGAGAAGTAGAAATCCTGGTTATTTTGTCCCATTCCTACCAGCTAGAAAACACAAACACTTCCAACCAAAAACCCAACCACCTTTCCCAGGTGAATCCCAGGCCACAAAGCTACAGGATCAGACTTACTTCTGATGCTGCAATTGCTGCATTTTTGGTTGTGTTGTAGCTCATCCTCAGGCAGGTGCATAGAGGCCAGTTCTTCCAGGATACCCTCTTGCTGGCAAGAGCAGCAGCCTGTGTCCTCTCAGGGTACTGAGAGTCCCAAAATCATGCCTTCTCTGCCACCAGGTTATTACAGTAAAGCCATGAAGTGCTATTATGGCAGCAACGCTTTTTGCTGCCTTCAAGGAGACAAGATGGGCTCAGATACCTCAGATCAGAAGCGGGCTGTAGGCACCAGATCATTAGTGGGCAGATACAGCCCTGAGTCAGAGCTGTATGCCAGCCCTAAAAGGCAGGAGCTCAGACATCATCGTGTATCCTGCATTTGCTAGTGGCTAAATCTAGTGATTAGTCAGCACTGAGAGCTGCTGAATCACTCTTCAAAGGCACCTATCTCCCTGCTGACATCAGCGAGGCAGCCACGCACTCCACCGAAATAGCCTGGGCTGCTCAGCTGCAGACAGGACCCTCTTACAAAGCTTGCAAAAGGTCTGAACTATGGTTCAGAAATCTGATCCCTGACCTGCCACAATACACTAGCTAATACAATAATAATATTCACATGCATAGCAAAAAGATGCATGTAATCTTGTATTAGTTATTCATATAATTTTTCTGATAACATAATTTGAGATGCAATGCAATATTTACATTCAGTCGTAAAAATTATGAATGTATTTCAAAGTCTTTTAAAGTTCAGTTCAGATTCTATCTCTTATTATTAATTGTTTGGGTATTAATTATTTCAGATTAAGTGAATGTAGGCATTGATATTCATAGTAGACAAATGACATACTAAGCAGATGAGAAAATTAGCATGAATTATTTCAGTCAGCTTGAAGTCCCTAAAATCTTTTTTGATTAAATAAAAAAAAAATTCACAAGATTAATATAATATTTTATTACAGTGATTCTTTAACATTTTACTGACTATGGCAGACTTCACCCGGTTTAATCTGAATCCTGTCAACCCTCATAGTAACAAAACCCAGTCTTGGAGATAAGGTGCTCTCCACAGGGGCCAAACAAAAGCTAATCAATATTTTCTAGCTGAAGGACAATCTTTGAGTCAAGATCTGTGCAAGGAAAATCTTTAGCCAATTCTTAGAGGAAGCCAACTACTTAGAAATACATAATAAGCAATTAAACTTCTTGCTTCAGAATTTAACTGGGGTTCTAAAAAGTGACAATTATTTTCCCATGCTAGTGGATGAAAATAAGTGTAAACAGCACATGAGATGCATGAGGCAAAAAATATCTGTGACATAAAATGGAAAAAATAATAAAGTAAAACTCCTGCTCCTCAGCAATAAAACTGAACAAAAGGCATGTTGGCGTACAGGGGCTCTGTTCATGATAGAATTTTGGTATTGTTCTAACATTTACATTGACAGAAAATGGCTGTTAAGCCTTGTGTAAAGAATATATTTAAAATTTTTCTTCTTTTCTGTTTCTTTTTTATCTTTGAAATCAATTAAACAATAATTAGGAATTGATTTTGGAATGCTTAATCCTGTACATTTGTGCAGGGTTGTTTTTGTTTTTTTAAGTAGAGTTTTGTTCCTTCTGGGGAAACTTAAATATCATTGACCAAAATCCTCAGGACTCTTCTTACCAAACAGTGGGATTTATAACAGAGAGGCAAATCCTATTCTCGTTTTTTTAGAGTGCTCCTGTCAAAGTCAACGACACTGCAGCATCCTTGAAAAGCAACAGAGCTCACACTGTATCACCCACTGGAGTCAACGAGAGTGCCAGGAGGATGATAAACGGAGCTATATTTCAGAAGCACTTTAACACCTAAACAGAGACAAATTAGAAACGCTTAGGGGAGTTGTGTACAATAGAGGTTAATACAATTCCACAGAATGTCGCAGTTAGGTTCACATCTCCAATCTGTCCACTCATGGTGTGGCAAAAAGTCAATATATGTATTTCAAGAACCATCAGTAACTTCCCCACTAAATCCTGGTTGTACTACAACCATGGGAGGCCTCCAAAAGATGCAAGTTACATCAAATAGACACATCTAATATGTCTGTGCTTGAAGACTGTGAGAAGGGCCCCATCTGACCACGAGAGGGAGAGTTGAATCATAAACACTGTTTATTCACACACATTTCCATCTCAAACCAAGTTCACAAGGAGGGCAACTCATAACTTCAGTATAGTCAGGGGACTCCAGGCACAGCACTGAGATCCCTGCTTGGATGTGCTTAAGGGAAGAGGGAAGAGAACCAAAGCCCAGAACCTCCATTTTATCAAGGGATGTTGAAGCTCAGTCAGGAATGCTGGGGTCAACAGGGAAACATCATTTGAAGACATACAGGGTATGAGCTTTCCTAAGGATATGAGGAAAGACTCAAGAAAGCTGTTTCTTTCAGATTTTTTTTCAGATGCAGCCATGCTTTGTGGTTTCCACTTCAAAATAGACACTGGTGTTTCTTTCCTGGGACTAGCTATTTCTGAATTGCCACTGATGCTCCAAAGTCTGTATGGGTGACTGGAAAATTTTGATATAGGCTTCTAGACACTGGGTTTAGATCCTAACACTTCTGCTTGTTTGGATTTTGTCAGTCCTGTTCCTCATATGGAAGACAGCAACAATTATGACCACAGTCCCCCAGAACTTCAGAGATCATGATGACAGTATTTTCAATGAAGAATGTGGATACTGAAACCTGATCTTTTCCTCAAGTCGGCAGACCCAGAGTTTGCCGATAACCCCTTTTCAGGCCCACTGCAAAGTTCATCTATTTTCTGGCTGCTAGAGAAGTCACAAATTGAGGAATATATTAGGCTGTCATGAGAGGTTTATGTTTACTACATTTATTGCTGCTGATAGCAGTAACTAAGAACAGTCCCCACTGTACAAGACTTTGCAGATCTGCAATAAGTTCTTGTGTTCTGGTCAAGTTTCAGTGCTTGGAGAAGTGCAGGGTAATGAATGTAAATAAATAAATTGCAACATGTGGATTTTTTCACCCAGCTTCAAAACACAGTCCCTCATTTTTCAGGATCAACCCTTCCTCACACTCACTCCTGAGGATTTGCTTTATTTACAGAAGACCTTATAACCATATGAAAAAGTCTATCTCAAAGCTTTCCAGGCTTATTTGTGACTGAATAATCACAGACCAATTATGAGAAATTTGAGGCAGTATTAAGTATAGAGCATGTTTTGTTTGTTGGCCAGGATGTCTGGACCTTTTACTGTACTCAAATATATTATGTAAATCTCCAGCCAGCAAAAGGAGATGGGAAGAAAGCTCTGTTCAAGCAAAGCATGTCACAGCAGATGTAACTGGGTCCCAAACCTTACATGTCAGCAGATAGATCTGGAAACCCCATCCCAAGTCAACAGCAGTTTTTTAACCTACTGATGTTTAACGAACATCTACTTACCTTGAAAACAAAAATACATGATTTACATTCTCCTGCTTTGGAGGCATGTAGCTCATTTTTCTCCATTGAATTTTGTTGAGGTTTTTTTTTTTTTTTTCCCTTAAAACACAGATAAAATCTAATCCTACTCAAAAAAGCCAGCCTGTATCTGACATGCAACAGTAATATGGGAACACCTGAGCCACATTTGCTATGCCACTGCAGCTGCAACAAAATTAATGAGCTGACCAATCTCAGAAGGGAGTGAAAACAAACTTTTCCTGCACAATAGCGAAAGCTTTGTTCAGAAATAGGTCTACTTGCATTATTTTATGTTACAGAGTAATATACACTTCTGCATAGGAGAGGGCATTTTGAAATCCAAGAGACAGAAAAGCAACTGCTGCTAAATTACTGTGTCATGGCTGTACTGAAGCTCGGGAAACCACAGATCACCAGCCCACTTTCCAGTTGTGCAGAGGAACCAGCTGGAATTCCATCATCCTCTGTGGTGCCACAGAGTATCGTCTTAAGAACATACAGACACACTGTAGCTAGATCATATGATACTACACATGCCCTGTGCCATATATATGTACACATAATGCATATATATGGATATTGTACAGCACACAAACAATACCAACAGCTACAAACGTGTGTACACACATTTACAGAGCTACATACAAGATCTCTAAAGCCTGAGAACCCTCCCTAGCACACACTCAGGGCCTGTTTATGGACAGTGGATCCCAGGTGAAAGGGAAGCTGGTCCCCAGAGCTATGTGGCAGGGAATGGCATGGGGCTGCCACATGCCTCCCCGTGTCCCTGGAGCAGGGCATGCAGGACAAGGCTGGAGAGTCCAACCACCGATCCACCTCCCTGATCAAAGCGTTTCTTCACGGGCAGCAGGGGAGAGGTTCTGCCCCCTGTAACTGCCGGCGCTGACACAGCAGAAACAGTTTATTTAGGGGGGTACTTTCTGGAAGCTCAAGAATCTGCAGAGTAGTTTTAATGAGTTTTTCAAGTCCTGCTGAAAGCAGAGGTTCTCAGTGGACCAGTAAAGCTGACCAGTGATACTAGATACCAATGCCAGCACTTCTGATAAGCAGGTTAGCCTGCAATGCTTCAGCTGCTATCCTTAGTGTCACTAACTGCTTCATCCTGAGTGCAATTGACTCCAGGGGAAAACAAAAGACGGATTTTGTTTTGTTTTGACAAATCCACTACAAGGCACCACACTAAGGTGCCAAAGGCTACTTTGTATTTACAATGCTGATGATAGGCACAACTCAGAAGTTTCCTGACCTCAAGTACAAACACAACATGAAAGGTGATATATCAAACTGACACTATCACAGCTAGGGAAAAAAAAAAAAAAAAAAAAAAAAAAAAAAAAAAAAAAAGAAAAAGAAAAACACCTCAGATTTATACCAAGCTTGCCTGCCTAGCATAAATACTAAAATACTAACATCAAGCTTGCAGACTTTGTTATATCACTACTTAGAAGTTGTGTGATACAGCACAAGGACAAAACAGTACAAAACCAAATGGAAAGTGTTTCCAAACATAAACTTAGAGGAAGAAGAGAAAGAAATTTGCCACACACCTCCCAGAAAGTCTCTATACCTCAGGCTACTTTACATTGAGGCTTTAATAAAACCACTACTAGAATGCCCAAAACAAAAGATACTTTCCCCCACCCCTCCCCAAAAAAATAGTTCTTGTTGGTTATCAGGAATCAAACTGAGTGATCCCATAATTAGTCTGTCACTCCCTCTCTCTGTACATTTGAGGCATTTTAATTTTTAAGAAAGAGCGC